CCTGGTGACCCCCAATTCCTTCAATCCAAAATGTCTCCACTTTTATTGAAAATAGATGGATAATTTTTTTCATTGGAAGTGGAAGCAAGACAAATGAACAAGCTTTAGAATGAGACCAGATCTAACAACTCAATATGGCCAAATATTGACGAGCAGCTAGTGCCTGTACGTCACAACATGTCTACTTACTTGTGTGTATGACAACACATGTGTACTGGTCAGTGTGTAGGTATGTATGTGTGAGAGTTCAGGGAATAGACAAAGGAACAAGGATGGTACTGTGTAGGTGTGTGTGTGTGTGTGTGAGAGAGAGAGAGAGAGAGAGTTCAGGGAATAGACAAAGGAACAAGGATGGTACTGTGTAGGTGTGTGTGTGTGTGTGTGTGAGAGAGAGTTCAGGGAATAGACAAAGCCAGAAGGGTGATGCTACTGTGTAGGTGTGTGTGTGTGTGTGTGTGTGTGTGTGTGTGTGTGTGTGAGAGAGAGAGAGAGAGAGAGAGAGTTCAGGGAATAGACAAAGCCAGAAGGGTGATGCTACTGTGTAGGATTGTAGAGCCAGTTACATTGTCCCAGGCTCTCTTTATTGTCCAAGTGTCCTTTTTCTGGATTTTTAAAAAACTAGATATTTTCTGTCTTTGCAGCCCACCATATCACAACTAGATCTTGTAATAAGGAGTTATATTTAGGTGCATTTTCTCATTTTTTTGTTGTGCATGTTGTTAATTTGTGTAAGACTCATAGACTTGTTTGCTGACATTTGTCTTTCACGTAGACAGGACAGGATTTAGCATTTAGGAATTCCTTTTTCTTTTAATTTCAGACAAATCAGTTCATGAGTTGAACCAGGAGGCTTTGAAAGCTGCCGTTGCCAAAAGGAAGTCGCGCATGGAGAGAGACCAGGACACCTCGGTGGTCACTGACATAGAGAGTCGCCTCCAGAAGAACAAGAAACTGCAAGCTGCTAAATTCTTCACAGCAGACACCACGGGCCGCCACAGTTCTCAGACGGGCAAAGAGGAGAAGCCCACCGCTGTCGTTGCTGCCCCCGCCCAGAGCAAGGCTGTAGAGGAAAACATGAAAAAGTCAGAACCGGAACAGTCGTCTCTGAAACCTAAGGAGATTGCAGCAAAATTTGACCCTGGCAAGAACGCCACGCCCCCCAAGGTGTCGCCAGTTCTCCAGACTAAGTCCGTGGCTGGCAAGTGGCCTGCGGGGAGGGATGCGTCGCCTTCCCCAGGGCCAAATGTCACAACCTTGGACCTGAAGTCCCGACTGAAGCCCGTGGAGCTGAGAGGTGGCGTTTCCCCGATCGCGTCCCACACCGCCCCCACCGGGGCCGTCAAATCCCCGACTGTCAAAACCAAAGCCCCAGCCCCGCCCCCACCAGGTGGGAAAACCTCTCCTGCTCCGGCTGCTTCCTCTCCCAGTGTGAGCACACACAAGCCCTCTCCTGTGCTCACCAGCAAGTCCACCAGTGCCAGTGAACCCAAGCCCGAACCCCCCGAGTCTCCGACCTTGAGCAAGACCCCCGTGTCGCCTTCACAGTCGGCAGACTACATCACTCTGGCAGAAAAGGCCAGACAAGAATACCTGAAGAAAAAGGCGTCCGGCAACTTGACGCCAAACGTGGAAAAAAAAGGGCCAGTGGAGATAACTCCAAGCCGCAAGGGTCCCCCGCGGTCCCCCGTGACCTCCCAGCCACGCCCCCCGACGCTGATTGACGTGAAGCCTGCGTCCGGGTCTGGGGAGGCGGTCCAGGTGTCCATCAAAGACCGGATCAAAAATCTGCAGGCAGACAAGCCCGTGGCAGTGCAGGGGGTCACGGAGGACCACTCACACACAGAGCAGTCGCTTAGCAACGGGACCATCAGAAAGCCGAAGAGTAACGGCAGCATCTCTCCCCCGCCGTCCCTCATGGCACCGCTCCCCGCCGGTCACCTGGACGACAGCCTCCCGCCACCCCCCCCTCCAGGATTTGACGACCGGTCAGCCCCCCTGCCGGGACGTGGAGTCCTCATTGACATCGTCCCCCCTCCCTCCTCCTTCGGGAACGCGGAGGACCCCGGGGAACCGCCCAGCTCTGTGCCGGCGTTTGGACAAGAGGACGCAGCCAGCTTTGTCTCCTCCGTGTCTTCTCTCAGCACGCTGTCCAGCGAACAAGGGGAGGGAACTGGCCCGGATAAGAACATGTCGATAGAAGACATGATTGCCCCTCCCCCTCCGCCCCCTCCCAACTTTGACGAGTCCCAGCTGGGTGACCAGGAAGCCTTCATCCCCCCACCCCCCCAGTTCCTGGAGCTTGACTCCAACGCCAACGTGAGCAAGTCTATGGAGAAGACGTCCAAAGCTCTGGCGGGGAAACCTGTCTCGTCCTGGTCGTGCATGGACGTGCTGGACTGGCTGGACACCCTCGGCCTGCCCCAGTACCGCGTCAGTTTTGCCAAAGCTTGCGTGGACGGGGCCAAGTTGGTGGACATGGGCCGCAATGAGTTCATCAGCCTCGGGGTCACTCAGGTGGGTCATCGCATGAACCTTGAGCGGTCGGTGAAAAAACTCAACCTGGCGGCATCCACCAACTTGTGACCTCTGACCCCTCACTCTCAAGTCTTGTCACTTGGCTGTCGGAGAACATCGGAGACCCTATAAAACTGACCACCATTTTGTGAGAGAGAGAACGTTCCTTTGGTTAAAGAGAGGGGAAGAGAAAATTGCACTAGCAGCTTTGAGGCAGTGCTACAGTGGCTACCTCTCCTGTCCATGGATGTGTAGCCTTCATCATACAGTGGCTACCTCTCCTGTCCATGGATGTGTAGCCTTCATCATACAGTGGCTACCTCTCCTGTCCATGGATGTGTAGCCTACAACATACAGTGGCTACCTCTCCTGTCCATGGATGTGTAGCCTACAACATACAGTGGCTACCTCTCCTGTCCATGGATGTGTAGCCTTCATCATACAGTGGCTATCTCTCCTGTCCATGGATGTGTAGCCTTCATCATACAGTGGCTACCTGGTAGGCCTAGGAGAGTGCTGGCTACATAAAGGACCTTACTACATCTGGCTTCTGCCTGGACTTTGTGGGCACTGAGTACATCGCGCCATGCTGAGTTCCTCATGGAGGAAAGAAAACGATGGCTCCGTCAATCAGACACTGTCGTGTGACATGGTTCGTCAGACACCGTCGTGGGACATGGTTCGTCAGACACAGTCGTGGGACATGGTTCGTCAGACACCGTCGTGGGACATGGTTCGTCAGACACCGTCGTGGGACATGGTTCGTCAGACACCGTCGTGGGACATGGTTCGTCAGACACCATCGTGGGACATGGTTCGACAGACACTTGTGTGACATGGTTCGTCAGGCAGACAATGTTGTGTGACATGGTTCGTCAGCCACTTGTGTGACATGGTTCGCCAGACACTGTTGTGTGACATGGTTCGCCAGACACTGTTGTGTGACATGGTTCGTCAGACACTGTCATGTGACATGGTTTGTCAGACACTGTCATGTGACATGGTTCGTCAGACACTGTCATGTGACATGGTTCGTCAGACACTGTCATGTGACATGGTTTGTCAGACATTGTTGTGTGACATACTTTTACCTTGTATCTATAAAGTATCAACGAGGTTCAGAACAGCCTTCCTTTGCCAGGGACAGAAAATGAAACTGGACAATTGGTACACTTGTGGTGCCTTTCAGAGCTTGACAGAAAAAATTGCCGTTCTCTTATGGGATTTTGGTTGTACGTGTGTACATTCTGTGAAAGAGAGGCTGACATCCAACTACATGTACATTATATGCCGATGGTGACGTGTCAGTACGGCGTGTTGCTTTGGCGACGCGTGAGTGCGGCGTGTTGCTTTGGCGACGCGTGAGTGCGGCGTGTTGCTTTGGCGACACGTGAGTGCGGCGTGTTGCTTTGGCGACGCGTGAGTGCGGCGTGTTGCTTTGGCGACGCGTGAGTGCGGCGTGTTGCTTGGTCTCTGAGAGGTCTGGCTCCCTAAGGTTTGGTGTGAACACAGCAAGTTCTGTATGTGGATGTGCCTGGAGATAGTACGGAGATACAAAGTAAATGTTATCGCTGATTGGGATCAGCTATTCAGGCGAATCCGTTGAGACAGAACTCAGCAGTACATGTGCTCATTGCACTGGTGCCTACAGAATTACTCAAGACTTCTTAATTCTCTGAGCTGATTGACGGAGGTCAAGAATGTTGTTGATCAAGGCACATAGCTACTAGCTACATGTGATTGCTGCTTTGTGAAGTCGGAACAGTTTCTTGCCCTGAGTGCAAGTGCCACGTTGAGCATCAAGTTTTGGAAATCAGGATTCAGCCTGCACTGTAGAGAGGAGCTGGACGATGGTTAGTGTCTTTTCAGTAATTGGATAAAGCCAGAGCCGATGAAGTTGTTACTTGCTGCACCCTGTAGTTTGCCACATTTTGGAGGGGATGTATATTATATATGCAGGCCAGCTACATTTTTCGTTGGAGCTCTATCAAGTTCAGACATCAAGGATGGACCGTGCTGGGAATATTGGACCAGGTCGTCTGTTGTGCAACGTTGTGCCGCAGGAAGTGACCTCTGGCAGTTGGTGGGGTCGTCCGCTCGGCCTGTCGTCCTGTCCAACAGACGCGGTGGATTGCCAGCATTTTTGTGGATTCTGTTTCCTACCAACATACCATAGTGTTTATGCAGGATTTTGTTTATAGAGGATGATTATTTCTAGAGGCTTCTGTTTATAGAGGATTTCCCACTTTTGATAACTGACCCCGTTGCTTTTTCTTTTTGTTGTGGATATTGTATCCCCCCCCCGACATCTTCTAACCTTGTTGTGAGCAGATGATATCCCCTTTACATCTTCATTGTCATGGAAAGTGTATTTGTAGGCATCAGAAAGCGTCCCTTTTTTTCCCAACAATGATGTTTCCTTCCAAGCCTCCCCACACAAATATTATGATGGTTTTGTTTCTCATTATATTCCCTCATGCTCTCTCTGTTGGAGGATAGTTGTTTTCTTCAAGTACAGGCTGATCCAAAAAAAACTGTACAACTTTTTTTCTAAATATCTCTCACAAAATTTGTATTAGAATGTTGTGATTTGGAACAGATATTTAATTCATTCAAAAGGAATTTGTTTGACATAAAAATCACAAAGAAAAAAAACTTATTTTCGAAAGCGAAAATGACTTTTATAAAAACCACCTATAAATGCAATATGTAGCCTACCGATTTAAAAGATCTTGTAAAGAAAGTCATGAAATGATTGGTTTGTTTTTTCATTTTCTTTTTTTTTGAAAATCTAATCTTTCCATCCCTGTAACCTGTAAACAATATTTCTTTTCTTATACTGAGTTAAAAGAATATTTTTTTAATTCTGGAATTCCGATAACCAACGGTATTTTATGTCCTCCTTTGGACACGACACATTAGAACGCGTCGTTCGTCATGTTCAGTGGTGGCCAAACACAAGGATCCACTCAACCATGAGTGCTCAAAGCCACACACACACTGTACACACACACACTGTACACACACACACACTGTACACACACACAAACACACACACTGTACACACACACACACACACTGTACTCACTCACATACACACATACTGTACACACACACCCACTGTACACACACACTTACACACACACTGTACATCTTACAGTATGGAGCTGTTTCTTGAGACCTGGGGGTGGGAGGGGGGGGGGGGGTGAGGTTGCCTAAATAGACATCATTTGTGGAGTTGATATAACCTGAAAGGTGAATATGGGCTTTGCCAAGGGACCAAATGTCATGGAGGAAATGTTCATGCTTTTCAAGACGGTCGAGGAATCACGAACACATTGCTGTCCTCTGATAGATTCGCGAACAGGAAAAAGATACAGTCGTAGATGAACATCTGCCTTGAGAATGCGGACCGTTGAGAAGTAGGAAAGTCCTAGCTGCAGACATCGTCTACGACAGACGTCTTATGGGGCTCATCTACTGAATTCTGCACCCTGGTGACGTTTAAAGGGGTGTGAACGGTGTGTGTTTGACCTGAAGTGGTCGTTTTGTCTGGGAATTTTTAGTTCTGCTTCTCTACAGGTCCTAACAGATGGACCATTTTCACCCTTGACATCAAAGGTCTTAAGGGCACTTTAACTTTATTTCCGTTCTTGTGCGAAACTTACTAAGTGAGTTGGTGGTGAGGTATTGTTCAAAACAAAAAATTCTCTGCTCTTTTCTGATTTTAACCACGATCTCAACCGGCAAAGGAGAGAAAAGCTATCTGCCAACTTCTGTTGGCCTGTTAGACTACTGTAGTTTGCAATATGGCGCAATCGTTGGGACTTATAGTGGTGCCTGTTAGACTGCTGTAGTTTGCAATATGGCGCAATTGTTGGGACTTATAGTGGTGCCTGTTAGACTACTGTAGTTTGCAATATGGCGCAATTGTTGGGACTTATAGTGGTGCCTGTTAGACTACTGTAGTTTGCAATATGGCGCAATTGTTGGGACTTATAGTGGTGCCTGTTGGACTACTGTAGTTTGCAATATGGCGCAATTGTTGGGACTTATAGTGGTGCCTGTTAGACTACTGTAGTTTGCAATATGGCGCAATTGTTGGGACTTATAGTGGTGCCTGTTAGACTACTGTAGTTTGCAATATGGCGCAATCGTTGGGACTTATAGTGGTGCCTGTTAGACTACTGTAGTTTGCAATATGGGGCAATCGTTGGGACTTATAGTGGTAGGCCTAAAGCGAATTAGTGCGCCATGCTACAAAAATGGGGACATAGCTGAAAATAGGTTGCTTTTTTTACGCAAAACTATTTTGTCGATTTGTCTAAATTGAATATCAGACAAATTCCTTTTGACTTCCAAATGTTGTGTACAAATTTGAAACGCAAAATTCCTGTGTGGAGGAAAATATTAACAAAAAAAGTTGTACAGTTTTTTGGGGATCGCCCTGTACATAGTTTGTACATTTTGTATTTGTGGCCCCTCTGTTGTCCCCCTTAGATTATTATATGAGATAGTTCAGTTTGGTTTGTGATGACAGCTCCCAGACGTTCCGATGCTTCATCCTGTCAGCCCCTGCCCATGACTCCTAGCATCCTCCGATATTGTCAATATGGAGTGTCACGTAGCGTTATCTCCTCCCCTAGGGACTCCTAGCATCCACCGATATTGTCAATATGGAGTGTCACGTAGCGTTATCTCCTCCCCTAGTCACTACGCCCAGCCCCTGGTGCCCCGCGCCATCTTGTTCTGTGGTGACTTGTTGCCATGCACTCCTCCACCTGCCTCATGATACTTAAAGCATTTACTCGGTGTACCCAGAACAGTTCAGCTCACTGATGTATGTGTGGCTGTTGTAAGAGCTTCTCCGTTATATCGCAACTTGTGGAATACACCGATGTCATGTTGGTATGTCTGGCCATCTGTGGCTACCATTGGCCTCTGTTCACTTCTGTAAGTGCTTCAGTGGAGAGGAAATGGCTGTCTACTTATGGTGTGAAATGTTTAATGGCCTCTTCTATATTTTCATCGATTACTTTTATCTCAATTGCCAAAAATTTTTTATGTTTGCTAATGCCCCCTTGTAGTGGTTTCTAAGGCAATTAATTTTTTAAAATGTTTTTTTATGTATCCTATCAATGAGCGAGTGCTTGTCTTTGTGTCCCATTATGTCCCACTTTTGTTAGGAAGCCTGCGATGTCTGTACTGTATCATGTTTTATTTCCAGAGTTAAGTTCTATCTCAGTGACCTAGCTAGCTTGTTTTTTTACTTTGTCTACACGGAAGATGGATCGTTCTGTCAGTCTGGGCTGTTTACTTCCCTTTGGCTTTGTGATGGGTTGCTCTCCAGGATTGTCCTGCGACGTCTTCTCCTCAGCAAAGATGGAACAGGGGGAATGTGGTGCTTTGAGGAAACCTTTTCACAGTTTATGCATTTGTGCCTTTCATGGCTGACAGTGATTTGTTGAATTTATCCTCTTGTGAAACTTTGGAAAGCAATCTGTTTGAATGTTTCTCACATCATTTTTTTTATTGAAGAGTATATTTGGAAACATTTTTGTATGTAGTTTTGACCTTGTTCCCATGGGTTTATGCCGTTAATCCTTTCCCAGGTTGATGTAGTATGTGTACTGCGGACAAGTTGCCTTATTGTTGATTCCCCGTCTGTGGAACTGACATTCCTGAGGACTACTTTTGGTATCTGGTAAACATTCCTTTCACCAGTTGTTTTGCCTGTTGAAATTCTCAAACTTTTCGACATTCCGGAGCAGAGTTTTACAGTTGTGTTGATCAAGTTTTGCATTCCACGTTTACTTTTGTGAGAATGTTGCACATGTTTACCTCTGGTGTAGAGTCTAGTCTTGTACGTTTTACAACTATGTCATTCTCTGCCTAATTACAAATGTTTTTGTTCCTAGACTTAACTAACTTATTTATTTTTTACACAAAGGAGCAAAGGCCTCTGTGAATATAAGGTCTAGGAAAAAGAAAGTTTGAAATAAGGACAGGGATATCACCTGTGGTTCTATTGGTCATCTGGTCATGTTTTGCAGTAATCACATGACTTACAAAAAATGTGTTTTGTCTGTGGGTTTGATATATCATTATGGGAAGATGTACCATCTTTGTGGAAAAACTAAGTGAAACATCTGCAAACTCCAGTAAAGTTGTAAAAGTAACACTTTTTATTTTCAATCGTTGAAGTCATTACTGCGAACAATACATTTTAAGAGAACAAATATGGCCTCAGAAAACAAGACGTAGTTGGCCCGGGACACAACTATCAACCTTGCTCTAGTCCTGTGTCTGTCGCTCCCGGACCCAAACCCTCTCTCCAATCTTGCCATGGATGTGAGCCCAGCTCCGTGTCTTTCAGTGCAGCCCCGAGGGCCAAGTCTTTTATATTGAGAGTCTGTTCTGTTATATATTGAGAGTGTTCTACTGACCGTTCTGTTCTACTGACCGTTCTGTTCTACTGACCGTTCTGTTCTACTGACCGTTCTGTCGTTCTGTTCTACTGACCGTTCTGTCGTTCTGTTCTACTGACCGTTCTGTCCGTCTGTTCTACTGACCGTTCTGTTCTACTGACCGTTCTGTTGTTCTGTTCCAGTGAACCTCCCCCCCCCCCAGCCCTTCGAACGACTCGCCAGGTGCACTGTGCCTGCAGGGCTCCACGTCCCCGTGTGTTGTACAAATGTCCTATCTCTACACGGCCTGTATAATTATACTGTCTAGTTATCTCTACACAGCCTGTATAATTATACTGTATAGTTATCTCTACACAGCCTGTATAATTATACTGTCTAGTTATCTCTACACAGCCTGTATAATTATACTGTATAGTTATCTCTACACAGTCTGTATAATTATACTGTATAGTGATCTCTACACGGCCTGTATAATTATACTGTATAGTTATCTCTACACAGCATGTATAATTATAATTATACTGTATAGTGATCTCTACACGGCCTGTATAACTATACTGTATAGTGGAGCTAGTCGCAAATACTCGCAGCAACATTTATTCCGTACATAAACATTATATTTATACATATATATATTTACAGTTTGGTGTATTTGGAAGTTTGTAGGTACCGGTAACGCTACATCTCTGACATGTTGGATGTTTTGTTGGTTTGTTTTTCTAGCACCTTGTACCAATTGCTTTGTCCTGAGTCCACAGGGTATCTTTCTCACTCACAAATCTTGTCAGGGGGGGGAATGTGTGTGTGTGTTTCTGTATGTGTATATGTTTGACTGTGTGTCATGTGTATGTGTGTAGTTCAGATAATATATTTATAGTTGTACGAGTGTGTTTGTGTATATATATAATATGTCATGTACGAACCAAGGGTTTCAGTTTCATGGAATGTGGTTCTGAATATTTTGTAACAGTTCTCTGTCTTTTCTCCGTTGAGAGGAAGGGGCTGGGGCCTGAGTCAGTGTTGTGATGGCCGTGGTTTGTCTATCAGTGGTCTTGTCTCTCTGTACGGGAAGAGTGGAGAAACTGGTGCCTCTCATTGGCTGTATACCACAGGAGCTAGAACTGATGCCTCTCATCGGCTGTATACCACAGGAGCTAGAACTGATGCCTCTCATTGGCTGTATACCACAGGAGCTAGAACTGATGCCTCTCATTGGCTGTATACCAC